TATTGGTTGAAATAATGAATTATTTTTAAACTGCCAAATGATAATTTGCCAAGTGACATGTTGCCAACAATGATATCAAAATCATTGTATATCAAGTATTGTTCTTCCCGTTGCACTAGTGTAGTAGTGGGTGAGTCCCCCCTCTCCACGTATGCCCACAAACCATAAAATGAATGCCCACTGGCTCTCTCTCAGAAATAATAATGATGCTGCTATCTGCATGCACTTGTATTATCATTGCAAATGTCCCTTCTTACTCCACATATTATCATTTCAAGCATGTCCTTTACTATTTATTGATAAAGGATCACACCATACAACACTCATTCTACTTGTGTTTGACTTTTACTCAAGCTTCAAATTACCTTTTTTAATAAGTTTACTTGCTAAGATTGAACTCTACATCTCCACAAATGCTACCAGAGTCATGCTCCGAATATAACCATATGATACATAAGTTGAATTCCCTTTGCAAAGAATCGAAATGACATGATGTGAGTCGCTGTTAATTACAATAAAATGAGATTCTGTCTCTCAAAGTGGTGAAATTGTCATGGGAACACATATAGACACTGATAGAGTGTGTGCTCTTTTGATTGAAAATTGACAAAAGAAGTTAATGTGGAAGGGAGACAACGATAATGAGATATTTCCAACAAAAGCGAATTGTTAAAAATGTAAGAATAAATCTCATATTAGTTAGGCTCAAAACTTTTATATGAATTTTGAAAGACATTAAATGAAAATTTTAATAAATTTTATTATTCAGGATAAATAGCACAAAACGTTTTTGTTCTTTACCACACTTGTGCAAATCATCCCTATTTATCAAATTTTACATTTTCATCCACAAGGACGATTTGCGCAAGTAAAGGTTGATTTAAGCCCCGTTTGAGTTACATTAAAATTCTTATTCTTCTACTCATTTTCAATCACACATTCTTCAATAAAATGATATTTTTCATCACATCAATAACTTTTCCTTCTTTTTTAAACTACACATTCTCCATCAATCTACTATTACAAAATACGTTCTTCGAAAATAATGTGGCTCAAACATTGAAAATATCAAATTTGAACCGATGAGGATGATCTGTGTAAGAGTGATAAATGATAAGAACATTTTGTTCCAATTACCTNCATGGTAAGAAATTTCGTCATGATCATTATCATTTCATCGTTCTGTCGAAGATAAAATAGGTACAGATAAATATATATATTATTTGATCGTCTAATTTTTTAAGGAATGGATCATATTATTAGAAATGATATTGGACATAATTCAACCCGACAAAACCGGCTTGTGAAGGGGAGAATTGTCCTCACTTTATTAAGTGGATCGTAGAAATATCACAAACCAATGTGAGGCTCTAAATCTCTAATACGTCCCGTCACGCACAGCTTGAATCATACCAAACAATTGTAAATAAATCAATATTGGGTTCACCCAACGTTGTAAAATTGGGCCTTGCACTGATGTCATATTAGAAAGAATATTGAGTTTAATTCAACCTAATAAAAGCGACTTTTTAGGAAATGATTGTCCTAATCTTATTAAGTGGATCGTGTAAATATCAGCAGTCAATGTGGGATTCTGATACATACTATATTAAAATATTAAATACTGAATTGAAGTCTCACTACGTACACTTATAAAAATCACATGACCTACAAGTATGAATGCATGTCAGCAACTAGAAATTAATTGTTTGTGTGCATGCCTTCCATTTTCTAGAAAATAGGGATTCGTTGGACATACTCTTGAAGGACAATGTCTATTTCATTAAGGAAATAAAGAGTGGAAGATTATTTTAGTCAATGGGTAAGAAATAAGACATTGATACAATTGGATTTGGACAAAACCTTCCTTAGAACAACAGCTCATGTGAATGANTCGATATTGGGTGCACCCAACATTAAAAATTAGGTCTTGCTCTGATATCATATTAGAAAGGATATTGAACCTAACAAAATCGACTTATTAGGGGATGATTGCCCTCACCTTATTAAGTGGATCGTGTAAATGTTATCAGGCAATGTGAGACTCTAATATATATTATATTAAAATATTAAATACTGAATTTAAGTCTCACTACGTACACTTATAAAAATCACATGACCTACAAGTATGAATGCATGTCAGCAACTAGAAATTAATTGTTTGTGCATGCCTTCCATTTTCTAGAAAATAGGGATTCGTTGGACATACTCTTGAAGGACAATGTCTATTTCATTAAGGAAATAAAGAGATGGAAAAGAGTAATGCTATTCATCTTCACTGGGATGAAAACACGTCTACGTGACGTTAGTATGACATTAAATGATAGGTGAAATAAAATAAATCATTTAATTTTACCTTTCATTTAACCTATCATTTAAAGTCACCTAAACTGTGTTTTCATCCCCACTGGAGATGAATAACATTACTCGATGGAAAATTAGTTTAGTCAGTGGGTAATAAATGAGACATTGATACAATTGGATTTGGACAAAACCTTCAAATCTTGTTGTCGAGTACACTTACTGCTTAGAAAGTTTGACTATCCAATTGATCTTAGCTACCTCAAAATAATTTCCTTCTAAGACAATGGAAAATGAATCCGACTAGAACTGATGGGATCCAATTTGACAACGAATGCACAAATGGATATCATCTCATACTAGCAAGTTTCTCTGAGTTCACGTTTAACTATTTTCTGCGCCGTACCATACTCTCGATTACAATACACAATAACTGACTGGTTATGCTACATTTACATAACAACTTATATAATGATTTACTAACAGATGATGTGACGAGATTTAATTGTATCAAAATCTAATCAATCAAATAATTTATTCACTTACATTTTGATGCTTTATCATTACGTAAAACATTAGGCCCCTGTTTAGTAGAAATTAAAATCAAATTTTCAGTAAATTTTGATAGAAATTGATGAGATGTGATTGAAAGTTGAGGGTTCCATAAAATGTGTATTTAAAATTAATTATTAACTTTAATTTGAGATTTTAATTGAATTTTAATCTAGACCAAACTGGGACCGGGTAAATATATTTGTACAATAATCATTTTCCATAACCAAAACTTTAAAGAGAAAAACAAGTAGAAGCATGTCTGGACAAACATACTGAGTAATGACATTTATTGCAGTCACATTATCTTTGTGTAATTAATCACATTGTGCAGGCGACTCAATCTGCCAAATGCCCCCACCCCGTCTCGCCTTACTATGAATCATGTGACATTCCTAAAAAAAATTCATTGTTTTTTATTTGTGGGACGACACGTGTCACACAATCTTCATTAAAAAACCCTGTATTTCTTTTTTCTTTTTTTTTCCTGGTTAAAACACAGAAATAAAGCAGCTCTGTTTCAGCGTTGCTTAAATGGCACTCGACTTCACTTGTATATTCATACCCCCTTCCTCCCTCTAAAAAGGAAAAATGGATCCTGCTCTTGAAAATCCATTGGCGAGCTTCGAAGACCAGCAATACGATAGCGTTTCAGCTCTCTTCGCCAATGAATCAGACCACATGCCTTGTCCACTCTCTTTCAAATCCTCCGATCTTCGTTGCTTTATTCGACGCCATGCGGTTTCGCAAATCTTTAATGTAAATTCACTATCCTGAAAAAAGAGAGAATTCATTACTTTTTTGCGTTAAAAATTAATCAATTTGTGTTTTTTCTATATATTTTCAGGCGCAGCTGTGTTATGGTTTAGATCCGTTTGTAGTCTACCTCTCTGTCAATTACATCGACCGCTTCCTCTCAAAACAAGAAATTCTGGTAAATACTTATACTATTATTTGACTTCGTATTATTGAGCAATGTATTTAACTTGATACTAATCCAGGAAAAAAAGCCGTGGATTGCTCGCATTCTGGTAGTTGCAACTCTATCACTCGCTGCGAAGATGAGCAACTGCAATATAGCAAATTCACTCTCCGATTTACAGGTACACTATATCTGGTAGTTGCGTAAGTTACGAATGCCAAAAATAATGCGTAATTTCTATTGAAACAGAGAGAAAATGGTTTTGAATTCGATGCACATTCAACCCAGCGAATGGAGGCTGTCATTCTGGCGGCTCTGGGATGGAGAATGCGATCCATCACACCTTTCTCATTTCTCAATTACTTCCTCTCTTTATTCGAAATCGATGATTCTTCGTTAATCGTGGCTCTCAAACAACGAGCTTCAAATATTATCCTTGATTCGCAACGCGGTAATTATCTACCTTTCAGAAAAAGAAATTGATAAGCTTGATAGTGACTAATATATCGTTTTAAATTTTTAATTCCAGATTTAAAGTTTCTGGAGTATAAACCATCGACAATCGCAGCCTCAGCGCTTCTCTGTGCAACTCGGGACTTGAATCCACTCAAGTTTTCTTCATTTAAAGACGAAATTTCTTCCTGTCAATACATAAATCAAGTAAGATACTATAAATTATACACTGCCATGTAATAATTTTGAGTTCGAGTTTGCCCAACTCAATTATAAAAAATTGTGCACATATCAGATGGTTAATAATCCTGTTCATGAGATTAATTTGCTATTTTTGCTAATGAGATTAATTTCACTGTGCTATTGCAGGAGAGGTGGTTAGATTGCTTGCGCGCAATGGAAGAAATGTTGGCGAATGGGTACGAGTCAACTCTTCATGCATCACCGAGTTGTCCGTTGACGCCCATCAGTGTCCTTGACTTGCAACATACGAGATCTGTAACCGAGAATAATTAAGCTGATGCTGAGTTGTTGTTGACATTATGTGCCAAAATTTGGTCAGTGATGTGACAGGGCATTATAAAAATCATGATAGATGCCATGTGTTAGGATGTCAAATTTAAAGTAACAAGAATGTACATGTAGCATGATTGAAACGAGAATACCACCACATGCTTTCGTGTAAAAATCTGTAATTCCGGAGAGTGATTGCACCAACAACCAGTGGAGATTGAATAATTTGTCTATCAATCGATCGTTCAAGATTTCGCAGACTCAGCAGTGGTGATACATAAGTCAAGCACTGATACATAATTTGTTTGTACCTTTCCTGACAATGGAGAGCTCCAATCAGGGAGCTATTCGCTCTAAACACATCAATATTTCTCCACAATCACAAATACNGGAGAGCTCCAATAAGGGAGCTATTTGCTCTAAAAACATCAATATTTCTCCACAATCACAAATACTCGAGTCGATAAACTAAAAAATGTAAAAATCATTCGGATTCCTTATATGAAAAACCAGATTTTAATCACAAAAACTAACATTCTCTTTCGCCGGTGATGGAGTTGTCTTTGTGGTTGTCAGCGCGGGTGACTCGTGGTCGGTTTCGTCGACTTTTTTGGTGGTGGTTTTGGGTCGGTTCGACTGTGAGATGAAGGTTGGGGGTATATTTGGCTTTTTTTTCTTGTGTAAAGTTATATTATAGATTTTTTGTTTTTTTTAATTCTATTTACTAGTTAAATGCCCTTTCCATGTATTTCCTCCTAACACTGGAAGCCATCCCAATTCTGTCGTAACATAAAACAAGTTTTAAACTTTAAAAACTTCAAAACTTTAGGGGTCGTTCTCTTTGTGTTTCAGTTTTTTGTTTTGAGTTTTGAATTTGTTTTGTATTTTGTGTTTTGAGTATTTGTTTTGAAATTGCTGAAAATACGTTCTGTTTGTTGTTTTGGAAAACTGTGTTTGAAAACATAAAACTAGAAAACGCGTTTACTTTGAAAATTTGAGAATTTTTTTAAAAATATTTTATTCAAGAAATC